AAAAAAATGATATAATAAATACAAAAGTTAATAGGTCTGAAAAGCTTTAAAGGAGTTCTGTGACAGATGTTGCCATATGCTGATGAGGCCTCCATTCCTGCTCTTGGCTGTCTGTTCATCCCAGACACATGGCAGGCCTACAGGGAGTGGAGTCCTCCAAACACTGGCTCCCTTTAACCTGCATCTCCCACGACCTTGACAGGTTTAGCAAGCCCTGTCCCTACCTGCCCAAGATAAGATCTGCCTCAAGGTAGAGGGTGGAGATTTGAGGGCAGGAGTTCCACTTTAACCTACTGAGAGTTCCAGGAACAGACATTTGAATGTAGAAGAGATTTAATATCCAAGTCATGTAGGAAGATGGTCTCTGTCCCACTGTCTTGTTGAGCAGCTCTATTGGACATCTCTTCTTGAATTTTTTCCTCATTAAAGACCACCACACAGGGAAATTTAGTACCTGACAAAGGGAGTATGCAGCAGGCATATTCTATGTGGAGCACCTGTAGCAAAAGCCGCTCAGGTCCTACGTGCTGGACTTTTATTTTCCTCTGTTTGGGGTTCATGATCCCCCTCCCCTTCTTATGGAGCCTTCCTCTATTTCATCCAAGTTTCCCATTTTACATGTCATTTCTCCAACAGGAAGACTGAGCTTCAGTGCAATGTTCTGGGTTTCATTTTTGTAGAGTCAGAACCAACACATAGTTAACCCTCCAGTGTATTTCTGAGGTTGCAAGTCACAGTGGGAAGGAATTGTCTGCATTTCTCCCTGAGAGCCACTGGTGGGTTAGAATGGCCAGAAGGGTGCAGTCTTTGGATTAGCAGTATATCTCCCTATGAGCTCCCTGAGGTTCAGAGAAGGGCTGGCACACTTCAGAGTCAGAGCAGGGACGCAGGGAATTCTGCTGCACCCTCCTATCCATCCTCCTCCATTCCCTCCTGTCACATAGCTTCTGGATGTGTAATTTCCACCTCTGTCTTTATTTTGGAATCTGGTGTTGGTTTCCCATGGGATGAAGTGGGAATCTTTGTTGTTTTTGCATCTCAGGGTGGTTGTGCTCAGGACTAGATTCCAGCAAGGCTGGGAAACCTGGGCAACAGCTTTAAGTCTGAATCTTCAAGTTTAGGCTTGTATTGGCCACACCCTGACCGTAGAAGGGCTGGGGCAGCTCTCAATGCCAGACTCAAAGTAATCTTTGTTTTTCTTCCACTAAATCCTCTCTAGAAAGGTGTTGGATCTAAAGGATCCCCAGTAGACTCTTTGTAACCAGAGCTATTCAGCCTGGCTGGCCTGTACTGTGCCCCATCTCCATTTCTTGTCAGGTGGCTCACCAGGAGAAAGAAGCCACAGCTGGAGGATTGACTAGCCTGGGTCAGCTCCTCCCATCTGTACCCAGTTGAGAGGCAAAGATAAAGTTATGCAAGGAGGTGGTGGAGAGACGGCTTTGTAGGATGAGCCCCTGGGGACTGAAGGCACAAAGCTAGGAATGGCAGAGCTAGGCCCTATCCTTGGAGTGGGAAGGAGGAGTGATAAGGATGATGAAGGAATTTAAAAGAGCAAGCTGGTTCAGTGTGGTGACTAATAAGTAGGTCCTTTGACAGTGTCCCTGGGACTGCCCTGGAGCTGGGACTTCCTATACTCCAGATACCTCTCTGTGTCTCTGGCCTCATCCTCTCTCTCTCTCTCTCTCTCTCACACACACACACACAGACACACACATAGACACACACACACACACACACACACACACTCTCCCACACACCTTCTTACCCTGGCCTTCTTTGGACCTACTTCCCCTCTCTGGTCTTTATGATGACCAATCAGTAGCCTTTACTCTGATTCCAGAATCGATATCCTTGCTTCCTTCCTCTACTTTCTGATTCATCACTCACCATTAGCACTTCTTCTCCTCTGTCTGTAGGATGTCGCTGCTGTATCTGCCATGGTTGGGACTCTGGCCCAGCACAGCATCCTTCTGGGTGATTCTGCTGATACCTGGCACCTCCTGGCTCCTTGCTCGGGTCCTGGCCTGGACCTATGCCTTTTCTAGCAAGTGCTACCGCCTCAGATGTTTCCCACAGCCCCCAATGCGGAACTGGTTCTTGGGTCACCTGGGCATGGTGAGTGGGGTTGTAGGATGGATGCGGGGGGAATCAGGACCAGGTCAGTTAGGGAGAGGGGTGGGTGGATTTAAGACTGTGGAAAGTGGTGCAAAACTGAAGGGAGCTCTTCTTTCAACTCTCAAAGTTCACGCACTCCTCTATTCTCTGTTCATCTCATGGTTAACTAAGCCTTTAATTCTTCCATTCCTCACAGAGGAAAGTTTTGTCTTACTTTCCTACCTGTGTTAGTCCACTTCTGACTTCCCTTCTGGGTTCAAATGTAGGCTGGGGAGAGCTGGATCTCTTTACTTTTTTGCATTGTCAACCTTTAGAAGACCTTGTCAGGAACATAGTTCAGGATCTACTCTATTGCCCTCAAGTGAGTGCCCACACCTCTGAGGGCTCCAGTTTCAGTCTCTCCCCTTCAGCATAATGAGGCAGTCTCCAAGCTCCTCCACTTACTGGCACGCTATCCTCATCTAATCTTGCCTTCTAGTTCCAGGATGTACCAATGGGCCTTGTTGCCCAACTTGAATAAAAGTTGATTACTTTCCCTTTGAGAAGTCTTCCTTGACTTCTGTCTTGGTTTTACCTATTAGTAATTTATTATTATTATTAAACAATAACTGTCCAATAATTTGCCTTTAATTTATTTCTGTCAGAAGAAATACATCTAGGAGGTAATATATCTACTCACAATGTCCAAAACAAGATTTGGTATATAGTTGTTGTTACCTGCCATTGGATTGAATATGACTCATGAAAACAGCATTAACAACAGATCTGAACTCTATCCTATCCTGTGCCATCCTTATAATCTCTGACACATTTGAGCCCTTGATAAAGTTATTGTGTCATACTATCTGGTTCAAGTCTTCCTTTCTTTTGTAAACCTTGTACCTTTCCAAACATGATTTCCCACTCCAGTGAATAGCCTCTCCTAGCAACATGCCTGAAGTATGTGAGATGAAGTTTCATCACCTTTGCCTTCAAGGAGCACTCTGGATGCACCCTCTTCAAGACATATCTATTTGTTCTGTTGGCAGCCCAACAGGATGTTCAGTACTCTTCAACAACACAGCTCAAAGGCATCAATTCTTATACTGTTATAATTTTTTATTGTCCACTTCTTAGATGTATAGCAAGTGATTAAAAAGACTATGGCCTGAATCAGATGCACTGTAGTCATCAAATTGACATTTATCCTCAATAATTTGGAGAGGTCCCTGACCACAGTCTTTCCCAGTGTAGTATGTCTGACCTCTTCATTATTGGTACCATAAATATTGAATATGGATCTAAGTGAGATGAAGTCATTGAGAGTCTTGCTATTTTCTCTATCATGATGTTACTATAGGTTAAGTCATAAGAATTTCTGTTTTCTTGACATTGAGAGGCCATCCTTATTGAAGGCTATAGTCTTTGATGTTCTGTAGCAAGCGCTTCAAGTCCTCCTTACTTACTTTCAGCAATTGAGTCATCTGCATAATGTAGATTATTGGGTTTTCTTCCAATCCTGATGCCACATTCACTCCAGCTCATTGAGTCTAGCTTCTCAATTTTCTCAGCATACAGATTGAATGTGTGTGGAGAAATGATATAATACTGACACACACCTCCTTTATTTTCAAACCAAGTTGTGTCCCCTTGCTTTGCTCATTGGACAAGCTCAATATCAGCAGTCAAGATTAGGTCAGAAGCTGACTGTGGAATAATTACTCATGTGCAAATTCAACCTGAGGCTGAAAAAAAAGTAAACAAATCCATGAGAACCAGAATATGTTACTGAGTCAATTCCACTTGAGCTTAAAAATCATCTTAAGAATAGGTTTGAAGCTTTGAGCAAAAGTGATCAACACCAGATAAATTGTGATGGTATTGGTGAAAAACAAAACCCCAGGAATTTATGGAATACCAGTTGGTCTATTTCAACTAATTTAGGCTGCCCTAGATTTGCTCACCGGTTTATGCCAGGAAATTTGGAGGACAGCTGCCTGGTCAACTGACTGGAGGAAATCCCTATTTGCTTTCATTCCCAAGAGAGGTTATCTAGCAGAATGTGGAAACTATTAAACAATATCATTCATATTACATGTTAGTAAAATACTGATGAAGGTTATTTTTAAAAAATGGTACGACCGCTCTGGAAGACAGTCTAGTGTTTCCTCAAAAAGCTGAACATAGAAATTCTGTATGGCCCAGCTATTCCAATGCTTGGAATATATCCTGAGAAAGGGAGAACTGAGTCACAGAGACTTGTACACCAATGTTCATAGCTGCGTTGTTCACCATAGCAAGAACATAGAAACTACAAAAATGTTCAACCATAATGGCATGGATTGAGAAATTATGGAACATTTACACACTGTAATACTATGCAGCACACAGGAGCAATGATTTTGTAAGTTACAACCAAACTTGAGAGAGACTAGAAAGCATTATGCTGAGTGACCTAACTCAGTCCCATAAAGACAAATACTGTGCAAGACCATTATTGTAGAACATGTACAAGGATCCAAGTTGAAGAGGGAGGAGCAGATGGGTGAGGATAGGTAGAGGGGGAAGTTTAATCATAGGGTTGCACGATTGGATGTGTGGAGGGAGAGATGGGTAAAGGAAAGGGGAAAGATCTGAGATGAGAAAGAATGTATACAAACTTTGTAAGTAACCCAGTATAAAATAAAAATTGTATATAAAGAAAGAGGGTAGGGGACCAGGGTTATATTGCTAACTGGTGGATCCTGGATGAAAGTGAGGAATATCAGAAGAACATCTATTTGTGCTTTATTCACTATGCAAAGGTATTTGGCTGTTTGGATCATGACAAATTATGGCTAACATTGAGAAGAATGGAAATCTCAGAACACTTAACTGTGCTCATGCGAAACCTAAACTTAGACTAAGAAACTGTTGTTCTAACAGAACAAGGAAATACTGAAGGTTTAACATCAAGACAGACATACGCCAGTGTGTATTCTTTCTCTATATTTATACAGTCTTTAAGCTGAGCAATTTATTCAAGAACCTGTACTCTGTGAAGAAGAATGTGACATCAGGATTGGAGGAAGACTCATAAATAACCTTCATTATGCTGATGATACAACTTTGATGAAAATGAGAAGGACTTGAAGTGTTTGCTGCAGATGATCAAAGATTACAGCCTTCAATATGGATGGCATTTCAATATCAAGAAAACAAAATTTCTACCACTGGACTTACAGGTAACATCATAATAGAAGGAGAAAAAAAATTGAGACTGTCAATAACTTTCTCTTACTTAGATCCACAATCAGTACACTTGGAACCAGCAGGCAGGAGATCAAGAGACATATTGCACTGAGAAAGTCTACAATCAGGGACCTCTTCAAATTATTGAGAAGCAATGATATCAGTTTGAGGACTAAGGTGCACTTGATTCAGACCATAGTTGGTTTTTTTTTTCAGTCACTTGATATGCTGTTGAGAACTGGGCAATGAATAAGAATGACAGGAGAATTGACACTTTGGAACTTTCATGCTGGAGAATAGTACTGAATATCTGATGTACTGCCAAAAAGAACGAACAGCTATGACTTGGAGTACATGCAGCCAGAGTGCTCCTTGGTGGTAAAGATCATAAAACTTTGTCTCACATACTTTGGACATGTTGCTAAGAGGGACTATTCGTTGGAGAGGGACATCATGCTTGGAAAGATGGAGGGATGGCGAAAGAGAGAAAGACCTTTAACCAGGTGGATTGACACAGTGACTACAGCAATGGGCTCATGTGTGTCAGAGATTGTGAAGATAGCTCAGGTTAGGACAGACTTCAAATCTGTTGTTCATTGGGTCCTCCTTGACAATGGCACCTAATAACAATGAAAAAGACATTTAAATGTGTCAGTCATAACAAATTATAGCTAACATTGAGGAATGGGAGTTGCAGAACACTTACTTTTGCTCATATAAAACCTAGACCTAGACTAAGAGGTTGTCAGGTGAGTAGGGCAAGGGAACACTAAGAGGCGTAGTGTAGGCACTCAACAAATGTTTGACTACTAAGTGGTTGAGAACACATCCTGAAACCAGGCAAAAGAGTAGGATCTGGGTTCTCTCTTTCCCTTGATCAACTTGGGTACAAACACATATCTCCAGTGTTCCCTTTTGTGGAACAGAAACTTGAGGGAGAACTTGAAATGAGTCTACTGCTCATCAGAGCAAAATTCATTTAGGAGGGGATGCTCTCAAGCTCACTATGAAGATTTCCCAAGATTCTGGGATTAGATGTGTCATCAGATGGTGCTGTCAAGAAACGTAGTGGCATAACGGGCTGTATGGAGTGTTGCTAACCAAAAAATTAATGATTTGGATCCATCAGCTGCAGGATGGGAGAAAGATGAGGTAGTTTGTGCCTGTTAAGATTTATAGCATTGAAAAGAAAATGGAGAACCACCGTAAGTTGTGATTATGTGGTTGGCAATGAAATATAGTGGAGGTTAGAGGGCTCTGGAGACTTCAGCGATGTCATATGCCAACTTCCTCCTATCCAATCAGAGCTTGCCCTTGGATGTTGGTCTAATCTTCCTCTACTCTAGTTACCCTAATTGTGTGACATTGGCCTATTCACTCTCCCTCTCTGGACTGAGTACATCATGCACAGTGAGTCATTGACTTAGATTTCTTGTGGATCAAGTCACAGATCACAGGAGAAAGTAGACTGGAATATCTTGCGAGATGGGTGTCCCATGAATTTGAGGCCTTTGGAGATCATGCATGTAGATCTTGAGAAGATGTCTAACGCATCAGGCTTACATGGAGAAAGTGTCTAAGGACAAGAGGAAATAGGGGTAAGCTTCATCTGAGGACTCTAAGGAATGTCTGGCGGTTCAGCCTTAGATTGTTGGGGTTGTCTAAGGACCTAGGAGGTTTCTAAGGTCCTAGGAGGTGTCTGCACAGGAACCTCCTTTTCTTCCTCATCTGTATAGCTGTATACCTAGTCTCCATGCTTTTGTCACCAAGGAAATGTGCTCCTAGACCTTCATAGAAAGAATGTTCCAGATGCACCAGTGCTCATCCTGGTACATGAAAGGTGCTATGTTAAAGAGGCTACTGTTTAGTGGAGTCAGAGTTCAATCCTGCCCTACAGGGCATGTGAAACTGGAAAGTCTGTAGTCTTAGACCTTCCTTGTGGAGGGTCCAGAACCTCAGTGTGGATTGTGAGGGCCCAGAAATAATGTGGGAACAAATTCTCATGCTTTAGCCCTATTAGTATAATTCTGTCCACATACTTCCCGTGGGGATTCAACTCTGTCATTATCCTGTGTGTGGAAGCTACACACTGGAAGAGAGAGTTCATCAACTCTATAAACTTAAACTTATTACTTGCCTTTTCTCTAGTGCTTGGATATAGGCTTAGACTTGGGGAATGTAATTTCTTTTTTTTTTAAGGAAGCTAAAGAAGCTTTGAAGTTGAGGAAAATTAAACCAAATCCAAGGGAACCAAAATAGGACTTTGAGTCTATCCCAACCGAATTGCAGAACCATCTCAGGAACAGGTTTGAGGCCTTGAACACTAATGAGCAAAGACCAGATGAGTTGTGGGAGGGTATCATCCAGGAAGAGTGCAAACGGTCATTGCAAAGACAGAAGAGGAAGAGAAGACCAAAATGGATGTCAGAAGAGACTCTGAAAATTGCACTGGAGCGCAGAGAAGCCAAAGCACAAGGAAGAATTCAAGATACGAAGGAGTTGAATAGAAGATTTCAAAAGGCAGCACAGGATGACAAAGTAAAACATTACAATGAAATGTTCAAGGAGTTGGAGTCAGAAAACCAAAAGGGCCGAGAGTGCTCAGCATTTCTTAAGCTCAAGGAACTGAAGAACAAATTCAAAGCTCGAGTTGCTATAATCAAGGATGCTTTTTACAGAAAATTAA